TTTTTTTTTTTTTTTTCCTTTTTAAACTTCTCACCAGGCTTTGGCATTAGCTCTTAACTGCTTTCCCTGACTCTAGAATCATTTCCTTAACATCCATCCTCCACAGGGAAGTCAGTGGATCCACTTACAATACAAATAAGGCTCTATCATTGCCATTTCTCCTCAATAAACATACAAGACCATCCTAATCTGACCCCAACTTTCATCTCCAAGCTTATCTCTTATCTCTCCAAGTTTATCAGTGCTGAGCTGGTGCTCTTCCCCCAAGCAGGAGAAAAAAAATTGGTAAGAGATGGAAAAAAGACAGTGTATGACCAATTAGGTCAAGATAAATTTGTGCTTTCCCCTGCCATTCTCCTTCTTCCATATCAACACTGGAGAAGGGCCTGAAAGAGGGAGGGTATAGAAGTGTGGAAGACCAGAGCGCATGTGCACATGAATACGTGTGCACACACATGTGCACATGGTGACTCTAAATCTCTTAACTGCAATGAAAGTTTAAAAAAAGATTGGATTAAGTTTTAAAAATAAAAGTGACCAGAAAAATGTGAACTTTACCCAAGATATAATTAACAATTAAAATTGAGAATGGTAAGACTCCATCTTGCTTTCTTTGGATGCATAATCAGGAAAGACCAGTTGCTAGGAAAGGACATTATGTTTGGTACAGTAAAGGGTCAACAAAATTGGAGAAAACCCTCAGTGAGATGGATTGACATAATAGCCTCAACAATGGGCTCAAATAGATCAAAGTTCATGGAAATGGAGTAAGTCCAACTCACCATGAGCTGGAGCAAACCTGACAGCAACTAAGAACAAAAACAAATGAAAATTAGACATAGCACAATTGAAAGTAGCTTTACCAAATAAAACTAGTCTCTGTTTACAAAGAATTGAGACTCATCAACAAAGTCCTTATATTCTGCTCAGGCATTACTTCTTTCTCTTTTAGGGACCCTTGTTTAACCTGTCTCCCATCCCACTCCTATGTACTCCTTCCTTGTGGATCCTGTATTCTGTAACTTTTATACTTATAGTTATGTGTTTATCTTCCCTTTGGACTTATGAGCTTTTTTTAACAGCAAGGATTGTTATCTTATTCATCTTTGTATCCTTAGCATTTTTACACAGTGCCTGGCACACACAAAAGGTTCTCAATAAATGGATGCTGCATGAATGAGTGATGGATGCTTGATTCAGTTAATGAAGTCCCAGAAATGCTTAATCTCAGTGACTAATTTCAAATGACTTCCGAAGTTGCTGCCACTGTTTCTCTTTTCAGACTTCCTTATTAATTACTTTTTCTTGATTTTTTGTGTAAAATATAGAGATTGAAACAGTATATTGCCCTAATTCTTGTATCTAGTTTCAAAACTATGTATTTTTAACATTTTTGACACAAGTGATTTTTTTATTTTTAAACTGATTTTGTAGGTTTTCGAAACTTACATATCGATGACCAGATAACGCTCATCCAATATTCTTGGATGAGTTTAATGGTCTTTGGCCTAGGATGGAGATCCTATAAACATGTCAGTGGGCAGATGCTATATTTTGCACCTGATTTGGTACTAAATGAGTAAGTAGTAACTTAACTTTTATTATTATTATTATTATCTTAAGAGTATACATCAGATCATCTTAAAAATTATATTTCAGTAGATGATTATGCATTTAGTGTTCTGAAAAATCACATTTGCCTGAAAGTTTTCTTGGAATTATCTCAGGATACAGCTTGATATGACAATACTAAAAAATTGTATGATTTTATTAGTAATTTGTTATCTGGAGCTTCTTCTCTTTGGTTCATTAGATAATGTAGTTGTCTTAAGTTTGAATCTTTTTTAAACTTCAAAAATGTATCAAGAAAAATATTTAAGCACAAATTAAATGGATGTTATTGTTGTTGTTATGTGCCATCGAGTCGGCCCCATCTCATAGTGACCCCTCCTTGGGTTTCCGAGGCAGTATCACTACGGAAGTAGGATTGCCCAACCTTCCTTCCTAGGAGTGGTTGGTGGGTTTGAACCACCAGCTTTCTGGTTAGCAGTCAAGTGCCTTAGGCACTATGCTACCAGAGCTCCTTATTAAATGGATAGATTATCAAATTAAAATTTCTCACTTTGATAATAATAACAAAAAGGAAGTATAATTTATAATTATAAATTAAATTTATAATTTAAATATTTTTGCTTAAAAGTATTCATATGCCTTGCAAAAGTTAAAAGATTTATCTTTCTTCCTAGAAGAAAAATCAGACTTTGTAATTTTAAAATAAATATTTTGGTGTGCTTGATTATACTTAAGTTTCTATAATTAATTTTCTATGTATAGCCTTAAACTGAAAAAAGAACCTTCTCATGAAAATGTTTAAACTTGTCTAATGGTGAATGCTGATTCAGAATTCTACAATCTAATAACTGACACTTGCAAAGGTCTTTACTGTTTATAGATAAATTTTATATGCTTTATTCCAGTTTATGCTACAACCCCTTGAAATATGTAATGAATTATCATGCCTTATTTTGCAACTGAGGAAACTGAGGCTCAGAAGAATTGTGTAATCTACTAAAGAATGTCATTGACAGGATTCAATCTTAGCTCTTCTGTGTCAGAACCTAATTTTCTTTTCACCATTCCTGCTAGTTTCATTTGACTTAATTTGTGCATTACAAACCAGGAGATGGTGGGAAAAATATCTTAAATAACTTCATTCAACCTTCAAAATTTGTTTTTAACCCTGTCAGTTATTTAATGTTGCAGTTTCTTTTCTTTTTTTTTTTTTTTTCTGTATCACTACATATTTCCCCTAGAAAAGTTCAAGTGTGGTGATTTTCAGTGAACTGAATCCACTCTTCCATTGGATTGAACACAAAACTATGCATGCTTTCATGGGGAGAAATCAGTGAATAAAGTATCAACTGAGCAGCTCTCAGAGAGCTCTTGTGATACAGTGGTTAAAGCATTGGGCACCTAACCAAAAGGTCAGTGATTTGAAGCCACCAGGTACTCCACAGGAGAAAGATGAGACAGTCTGATTCCATGAAGATTTACAGCCTTGGAAACCCTATGAGGCAGTTCAACTCTGTCCTGTAGAGTTACTATGAGTCAGAATTGACTCTGTGACACTGAGTTTGTTTTGGAGCATCTCTCAGTTCCACATTCTCAACTCCTACAACTTTGCTGTCCAGTTGCACTTTAGCTATTTAAAGTGTGATAATAAAAGTGAGAAAAAATGTTAATCTTGGTCAATGTGTATTCAATATGATTTCCTAACTTTAAAACTTCTTTACCTCAAAAACTTGTACTGTGAAGAGGTGTAAATGTTTAAAATTCCAAATATTAAGGTAGCTTATAGCTAGGAGCATGCATACTCAATAATGAGTAAGGTAATGACCAAAACCACATTCTCTGATAAATTACATAAACTGACTAAAACACTGTTCTATTTTATTTCTGTTGCCTTTCCTTTCATGTGTTGTGTGTGGTACAAGACAGAGGATGAAAGAATCATCATTCTATTCATTATGCCTTACCATGTGGCAGATCCCACAGGAGTTTGTCAAGCTTCAAGTTAGCCAAGAAGAGTTCCTCTGTATGAAAGTATTGCTACTTCTTAACACAAGTGAGTGAGTACATGTAACCTAATACAAAAGAATTGCTTTCTTAATTTTTGAAAGTCTCAAACAATAATGATTATATGATTATGTATGAAGTATGAATCTTAGACTATAACTGCAAAGGAGAAATGTGCAATATATTGCTACTGACATTAAGAAAAGTTACTACCCATCTCATAGTACTAAAATAGCATATAAATTTTCCCATTTAAAAAAAAAAATTAGATAAGATATGATTACATAACTTTTCCAAATTCACATACTAAAGTATTATAAACTAATTAATACTGTGTAAACACAAACTATACTTACTTTCATCCTTACCCCCCAAAAGTATTTGCTGTTTAAAATACATAATTTTGTTGGCACTATCCTCATTATCAGAATCAACTTGATGGCAATGGGCTAATCCTCATTATGTTAGGACATACTAACTATTGTAACAAATAACTACCGAGATCAGTAGCTTCATAGGATATCAGTTTATCACTCATGTCACAGTCCAGTGGGTTAGCAAGAAAAGAAAAGGGCTTTATCCTTCTAACAGCTGTGTCCTTTTCTAGTGGTTTTGAGCTCTGAACTGAATTTGACTGCAAGGTGAACACTGAAAAATTGAAGGATGGAGGTGAGGCCTGGAAGTGTCATGCATCACTGCCACTCATATTCCAAAGCCCACTTCAACTGCAGTAAAGTCTGGGAAATGCAACCTAACTCTATGCTTAGAGGAGAAAGGAAACGGGGTACCATGAAACATAGTATTGTACACCAGGAGGATAAATAATTAGCTATCTCACTCTCTTAGACACAAAGAACACACACCTCTGCCTCAGTGAATAGCAACTACCACCACACTTTGTCATCCGGATCCTAAGGATCTAGATGGGAAAAGTGAAAATAACTGGTTTTCCCCTTTTCTGCACCCTTTCTGTCCATGGGCAAGTTCAGCCCTCAAATTTTCAAACTGATCCTTTCTTGACTTACAGTGATTTGAAAGAACCACAGGGAGCAAAGAACTTCAGTTAAGGGTGAGCCAATGGCCCTTCTCAACAGTATCTTTGTGGGGACTTTTTCCTAGTAGCACAGCTCTCAAGTGGGTGGGTAGGCGGTGTCAGGGGAAAAGGCAGAAAAGCTAAAATCTTGAAAAGGAAGGTTTCCTTGTGAAATATAAAAGACAGGCACCAGTATAAGATCGAACGATCCGTATCTTTATCCTTTCACTCTTGGACATCGTATGTACAACAGTCTTTCCACTCTAAGGTGTTGAAAGAATATAAAGTTGACAAAAGCAATTGATATGGACTGACCAAGAGAATCACTTGGAATTAATTTAATACTATGGCAGATAACTCCTCTCCCTTTTAAGTTTTTAGTCCTACAGCAGTTAGATCCGAGATAGTCCTAGATTTCCCAGATTAGTTTATGTAATTAACATAATATTTATTTATAGATTAATTTATGCTAGGGTGCCAAAGAATATGTAATAAAATTTTAAAAAAGGGGGAAAAGGTGGATAAATTTATTCTTCCCACTCTACGTCTAATGCAGAACATCAGGGAGGTTCTGCTCATTCAAGGACCTAGGCAGATGGAGATTTTATCTTGAAATATGCTTCCACAATAACAAGAGCAATGATAAAGGAAGGAAATGATACACTAATGACTTCTACCCACACATCATTGGCCAAAGTAAGGTTCTTGGCCACATATCACTTTCAGAGATGGGAGAAACAGAGTATCTGGTAAATAATACTAATGAATTCTACAGATTTTAATTAATATTCTAATGGGATTTTTGAGGGAAAAACTTAGCAAAGCTACTGAGAATTCATCTTTACATCTTGAAGAATAAATGGATAAGAATTGTGAAAATACTGGAGAGTGAGGGGAACTAGAAAGCTACAATAATCAATACAATATGGAGGAAGAATAGATAAACTGAACTGATAGTCAAGTCAGAATAGTACATATTAGAATGTAGTAGAAACATCATAAAACAATGCACATGGAACAAATATTATTGAGAAAATTTGCTTGATATTTGAGGGAAAATTCTATTTGGATATGTAGTTCAGACTATTTCTAAAATACAAGATAAATTAAGTAATGTAAACACTTGAATCATTAAAATAATAAACTAGAAGTAATATAAGTGATTTTTAAATCTCATAATAGGAAACATCTTTTTAAGAATAAATGCAGTGGGAAATTGGTAAAGGCAAAAAATGTCATTTGCCATAAAAAGTGAAATACAGATCTCCTGGAAAACATGGCTGATTGAACACACTTTTACCATTGCTTTATACCAAACTACGCTAAAATATTAGTAAAGAGATTTTTCCCCCTAAGGAATAAAATCAAAAGAACAAAGAGAATGGGAGAGGAAACAATAGAGACAAAATTTGGCAAGCTGGTAAACAGAAACAATTTAGCATGCCCCAGAAGGTTGGATCCTAAGCCAGAAGTGGGGGAATCCAAGAAGTACCTTGATTTGCATCACTGAACCTCTAGCATACCTTCAATTGGTGACATCAGTAATTTCTTGAAATGGGAGTAAAGGTCGAGTTGAAAACAGGAAGTTTTGTTGAAAGTCTGTTAAGAGAAAGTTAGCTTCCAGATTCTCTTCCAGATATCACCCAAACAAACAAACGTTCCTGTCCAACTAATGCGGAGACTATAGGTTTGTTCTCTAGAAAGACTATAATAAATGATCCTTGGATCAGGAAACTGCAGGTACTATTGAGGGTGAGGGTTTCCATACTGAAAAAGATTAAGATTAGATAGCAAATGTTGAGACCCTACTACCTCCTGCTTACCTCCCCTGTCTGTTTCTCTCATCATTGTTGTCCAGGCTTACATCCTCCAGATAAAAAAATGAAAAATGCTTCTCTACACACTCTGTTTAGCCCAAAGAAAAATATCTAAATATACTGACATTAAGAGTTTCCTTTGGAAGTAACCAACCAGATAAGCTTACAGTAAAGCTCAAAATCAACAAGCACTGCCCATTCAAATAGAACTTCCAATCAGAGCTTTTTAGCTTTCTCTTATTATAAGCAAACAATCTAAGATCATTAGATATTGAGGGGATGCCTTTGACATGAAAGATTAAAACAAAACAAACAGAAAAGGAAAGAACTCACAGAGAACAGACCATATAGGATATGAAAAACTTTAAATATTTATTTATATATGAGGAGCCCTGGTGGTACAGTGGTTAGGTGCTCAGCAGCAAACTGAAAGGTTGATAGTTTACATCCACCAGCCACTCTATAGGAGAAAGATGTGGCAATCTACTTCAGTAAAGGTTACTCCTATGGGGAGTTCTACTCTGTTATATAGGGTCTCTATCAGTAGTAACTAACAGGATAGCAAAATCAGCCTTTGAAAACTGTGGATCACAACAGTCTGATTCAGTTGTGTATAGAGTTGCCATGGATATGGGCAATTTGATGGCAGCTAACATTAAGTTTGTGGTATTGTTGTGGTTTGCATGTTGCTGTTAGACTGAAGGCTATACCACTGGTATTTCAAATACCGGCAGAGTCATTCATGGTGGCCAGATTCCAGCAGAGCTTCCAGATTAAGGTAGACTGGGAAGAAGGATGGGACCATCAACTTCTGAAAAATGGACCACTGAAAACCTTATGAATAGTATTGAAACATTGTATGATATATTACTAGAAAACTTGATGAATAGCCATGAAACATTGTCTGATATAGTGCCAGAAGATAAGCCTCTTGGGCTGGAAGGCACTCAAAATATGACTAGGGAAGAGTTGCCTTCCCAAAGTAGAATCAACCTTAATGATGTGGATGGAGTAAAGTTTCAGGACCTTCATTTGCTGATGAGGCACAACTCAAAATAGGAAGAAACAGCTGCAACATCCATAATAATTAGAACTTGGAATGCACAAAGTATAGGAAAATTGGAAATTGTCAGAAATGAAATAGAATGTATAAAAATCAATATCCTAGATATTAGTGAGCTGAAAAGGACTAGTATTGGCCATTTTTAATCAGAAAATCACTTGGTCTACCATGCCAGGAATGGCAAATTGAAGAGGAATGGCATCACTTTCATCATCAAAAAGAGTGTTTCAAGATATATCCTAAAGTACAATGCTGTCAGTAATAGGATAATATCCACATGCCTATAAGGAAGACCAGTTAAGATGAAAATTATTCAAAATTATTCAAATTTACAAATAAATATTCACATTTATGGATCTAAGGATCCATACACTTATCCCTCCACTCTTGGGCATCCTATGTACAACAGAGTCTTTCCATTCTAATGTGGTGAAAGAATACAAACCACCAAAACAAAATATGAAGAAATTGAAGATTTGTACCAATGTCTGCAGTCTGAAATTGACCACAAATGTAATTAACATGTATTGATTATTACTGGTAATGGGAACACAGAAGTTGGAAACAAAGAAGAATCACTGATAATTGGAAAATATGACCTTGGTGAAAGAAATCATACCAGAAATTGCATGTTAGAATTTTGCAAGACAAACAACCTATTCATTGTGAATATCTTTTTTCAACAACATTAACAGTGACTATACATGTGGACCTTACCACATGGAACATACAGGAATCAGATCTACTACATTTGTGGAAAGAGGTGATGGAGAACTTCGGTGAAAACAAGGTCAGGAGCTGACTGTGGAACAGACCACCAACTTCTTATATGCAAATTCAACTTGAAGCGGAATAAAAATTAAAACAGTCTCGAGAGCCAAAATACAAACTTTATTATATCCCATGTGAATTTAGAGACCATCTGAAGAATAGATTTGACTCATTGTACACCGATGACCAAAAACCAGATGAATTGTGGGATAACATCAAGAACATCATCTATGAAGAAAGTAAAAGGTCATTAAAAAGACAAGAAAGGAAGGAAGGACCAAAATGGATGTCAGAAGAGACTCTGAAACTTGCTCTTAAATGAAGAGTAGCCAAAGCAAATGGAAAAATGACAAGATAAAAGAGCT